CTTGTGCTTAAAAACTGTATTGGTGATGACAAGGCCATTTTCCAAGTATAGAGCCAACAGAAGTTCACTTTATGAGTTGCATTTGCCAATACCACAAACACAGGCCATTTATTATGATCTATTCCAACTCTTGAATTGAAGTCTCCATTTAGAATCAGTTTGTCTTTGGCTGGAACCTTGTAAAGAACAGATCTGAGACAAATGTAAAACTTGTTTTCCTCAGGGTTGGTCATTGTTGGTGCATAAACACTAATGCTTGGCGTATACTTCCCTCTCCAGTGGCAGTCTCATTGTTATTATCCTGTCACTAATCCGTGCAGGGTTCTGGTCAAGAATAGCAGCAATAGAGTTCCTCATTGCAAGACCAACTCTGCTTTCATATGATCACCTTTATCCTTTCCCACTCCAGAAGAATGTATAGCCAGTCTACCATGCTGTCATATCCAGGTCGACGAGTCTCAATCAAAGCTGCAATGTCAATGTTATATCTGCTTAGTTCCTTAGCTACTAGAGCAATCTGTCATTCAGGTCTGTCATTGCCAGCACGGTCCAGCATTCCACTTGGCTAGATTCAGTTTTCTTCTGCATCCTAGCTGACTTTAGACTGGTCCCCGGATCGGGAAGTGACCAGCATGAACTTTTTTTGGCCAGGCATGGTTCAATCCAGAATGAGTGTTATCTTGTTGTGACCATTGTCATAGGAGTTGCATGCAAGGATTTGAAGTAAAACTAGCTTTTGTATTGACTAGTATCACTCTCTCTGCAAAGTGGGGTGTTTAGTGACGGGTAAGGGCTAGTCAAGACATGTCACCACCTCACTTGATGCAGTGGCTGATCAGAGAATTGGTATGTTAATTTCTGGTGCCACATCTCCCTATATGGTGGTCCACCACAGACCTTAGCAACAGATCTTGTTTTAAGTTCTGCCAGGATGCCACGTGTGCCCTCCTCATTGAAGTTGTAGCAATGAGGTTGCCAGTTTAGTCACTGACTACTCAACCATGTGACAGGTATGGATTACATGTTACCATAGCAGATTTCAGTGCCTGATCTGACCACCAAAACCCTAGGACCAAGTCTGTAGATTCAGGTGACACCTGGTTGATTCAAAAAGCCTAAGACCAAGTCTGTAAATTCAGGTGACACCTGGTTGATTCAAAAAGCCTCAGACCAAGTCTGTAAATTCAGGTGACACCTGGCTGATTCAGAACCTGAGAACAGTTGATAAATTTAGGAGAGGCATGACTGATTCATGAACAAGAAACTCTGCCTGCAAATTGAGTACACACCTGGCCAATTCAAAACATAAATTATATGTTGTTTTAGGAGACCATCCCTTCCCATTTTGCCAACAAACATGGTCACTAACGACAGGTCTTTGAATAAAGATCATTTCTCAATATATAAGATGTTAGTTCCATTACATATTGAGAATCTGACCTCTCAAGACAGGTGGTCTTTTACTGCAATTGTCTTTCAAGACAGATATTACTGTATACCATCTATCATTGCAAATCTTGTTTAAGTGATCTTTGAAAGAAGCAAGATTCCAACCGGAGAAAACATTTTGCAATTAGGGTCTATTTTGGAACATTTAAGGAAAAATTTCCACCTCCTTTTCTAAAAACAAAGAGGGAAATTTTCTGCATTTTCCAGGCATAAAAATTTGCACATATTTTACAATTCACCTAATTTTTTTTTTTACAGATTTTAAATATCTGCACAAATTCTGCAATATTTCATTCTCAAACAGACCCTGTTAAATGCATACAACCATAGCTCAGAGATCTTCATACATCGTAAAACCAATGAGCCCTCTTGATGTGCCAATTGCTACATATCAATTCAAAATTAAGAAAAACAACTGACAATTTTCAAATTTAATGAGCTGTCGAGAAAATCTAATGGGCCAAACAAACTCTTAATATTACTCCTTGGGCAAAACAAATGCCATACCAAATAAATTTGCTTGTAAGTCCAACTGCAAACTGCACAGACCCAGATCTGTCATTGCATAATGTGATGGCATATCTGGATCTGTGCAGTTTGTTTACAACCAGTAAAACCAACATGATACTATCGCAAATCAGGCTCTTTGTTTCTTGCAGTTTTATTCAAATTACAAGCAAGTATATACTGTGTTTGAATTGATCATGAAATGATCCATATAAAAAGCTAAACCTATTAAACTGTCCCTGTTATTCAGTGTACTTTTATAAATTGTCCCTCCAAGAGATCACCAATGGTATGGATGTAAATTACCACCATAATTTTATGAATTATTTTTTACTGGTACATACAGTATATTCTGTTCTGCATTTCCATTTTACATTTTAACTCCATATAGGGTGTACAGTCTAGATTTACCAGTATTTCTATTTAAATTTGATATATGTGATATTTAAATACTGCCATTTCATATCTTTAACTTCAATGTTCATATTTTTGATATTACACACACCAGCATTCCATGATATTTTATTCCATTTGTAATTCTCCTCACGGCTTTTTGAAAGTTCATTCGATTAAACAGGACCACAAGTTGCAAGTTAAATTACTTGAAATTTCTACCAAAAGTACTAATCAGCAAATAAATTTTGCAGAATAGTATGCGACTTACAAGAAAACAAAATGGGCTTATTCATATCAATCTTAGGAGTTCAAATCCTGCTCACAATTTACATATCGGTCATGTAGTATTAAAAAGAAGCAAAGACACTTTTCATACAACCTATTTAAGAATTAACACTGATAGATTAGAATACATTTCATGAAGCATATGGTTACCAAATGTTTGAAAATGTCTAAGTTGGCAGCCACCCTACAACCAATACTTTAGACCTACTTGGAGCCCTCTTACATGTTCATCACCATAACGGTAAAAATACTAACATCATAGAAGTTACAACTAAAAGTTAAAACTAAGATGTAAGTATAATGCAAGTTAGAATATGGTAATCAACATCATCTGTTATCATATTTGGGCATTACAATACTGAACGATTATCATAACAGATGGAGCTGCAAGATTGATCATTCAAGAGGTAGAAAAGTCCTGGGTCCAGTATGTTGCAGATTCTAAGCATGGATGACTTCACAACATTTTTCCCATTGGTTATATTGCCATATCAAATGAAAGAAAGCAAGAAAACCCTTACTGTTTAAATGCTCTCAGTCCAACTATAGTGGTAAAATGGCATACACTTTCTTTAAAATTTGCTTATTTATTTCATTTATTTATAGCTAATAACCAACTGATCAGGGATAAGGGATTGTTTATTGCAATCTTACCGTCTTACCAGAATCAGATTAATCATAGATCTTATATAGAGCATAATTTCAGTATTGGAGATTATTCAACGGTGCTGTTAATACAAAACTGGTTTGGGGGGGGGCCCAGATTGGCCAAGTGGTTTAAAGTGCTCTCCGGTTTCTTCCTCCACCATTAATACTAGCCGCCATGTATAGCCTATCATGTGCTGAAAAATGGCATTAAGCCCTTCAACAACAACAAACAGGTTTGTTTTGTTTGTGTTTTTGTTATTTTACCTTTCCAATTTAAAACCAACAAATTTTTAATGACAAGAACTTATGCTTTTAATATATTTGAAGGCAATAATGAAAGGATACAAATGTTACATAGATTAGGACCTGAAAATTACCATGCTCTGAGATCAGGAACAATATTTTCTGTCAGTAGACCAGTGATATATTACCAGCAATAAAACATCATTCCCTTACTGTTTCTAAACTGTTACTATAAGCTGAACATAATGGGCTATTTAATCCTCAAAACATCAAAAAGAATCATAAATGTACACAGATACAAGTGGAAACCAGTCATTCAACAATAAAAGGCTGTTACTGTAGCATGCCACCATAAATTGGCAAATTTATCATACAATTCATGAAGTACCAGTCTGAGCCAAATCTTTGTCAATGAAATATTTCTTTCCTCAACCTTTACTACAAACAAGCATCTACTGTATCAAAAATTTCACAGATCAGATATGTTGTTTAAACAACAACTGGTTTATACTGACCTGAGTGATGTAATGCCCTACTGGTCCTTAACTTGCAATTCTGAATAAAAATATTCAGGCAGTAAATAAGTACAGATGTTTTTACTTTAAACAAGTGCGCAAGTCCAGATATCCATTAGAAAGGATGAAGGTGACAGACTCTGTTTTAGATGAAAATATGGCTTTCATATATATCTTCATATTGAAATGTTTCTGCACTAAGCAGAAATACAAATCTTCTGAATACATATATGCAAGAAGCAGCTTTATTTATCTTTCAAACATCTGGCAGACTATGATCAGTATTAAAACTCTTCAGTTAAAAAGATAACATATCTGAAACATGCTTCCTGTCTAAACCTACAGAACTTCCTTCCTGCTTTCCTAAAAGGAATGATTACCACTTTATGCAACACTAACAAAACTGAAGTATGGACACAGCTGTGCTTGGGAAGATGAGCAATGTACATAATAAGCATCAAAATTACCTTCACACTTTGTCAGTTCTGTCCAACAGCATTTTAAAGTGAACAATGAATGATCGATCTAGCAAACATTACATTCAGAAAAATATCTGGTCCACATGCAATTCAAAATATCTCCTGTATTTTATAATCTGTTGACCAAGAGCAAAAATTTGTGTTGAGTATTAGTCATTTTGAGCTATTGTATGTATCTACTGTCAATATCAAGAAAAACCACAACAAAACATTCAATCTGGAATAAAATCAGTTCATAAATAGCACTATGTATGATGTGATGCAATTTGAATTTTAACATATTTATAAAAATGTCTGCAGTGTGGCAGTTTATAGAGTGATGTCCAGCACTAGGGTATCATGATGCAGACATGTAGCATGATGTCACACCCAGTCAGATTATCCTGATACAAGGGCGACCAGTCCTAACACTAACCTCTTAAGGCTGAGCTCCAAGCAAGGCAGCTACTAGTACCATCTTTGTAAGTTTTTTTATTATTACTTGGCGGGGATTGTACCCACGACCTCCCACATCCAAGGCATACACTCTGACCACTAGGTCACCAAAGTGGTTATAGCACTAAGTAAAATTGCATCATTAAGAATTAATTGTCCACTACAATACAGCTAATTCCTTAAACAGTGTCATGCCTACTGTGAACTAGGATACCAAAGACAGAAGACACTGTCCCCCGTCCTCCAAATTTGCAAGGTAGTAAACAGTTTAATGGGACGAAGCAAAGTAGTAGGCTTTACACTAGTAGTGCATTATATTTTTTTGGGACACTTATATTACTGTAATGAACATTTTATTAAGTGCCCAAATGACTCATGAAAACAATGACAGATCTGAATATCGGCTTCTCTTGAAGAATGCGATGCACTTGAAATTTCCATGAAAGATCAAGACTGTTTAACCATTATTTATGGTATTTATTTAACAATTCCCATTATTTACCATATTTAACAATTCCCATTTTTTACCATATTTATTTAACAATTCCTATTATTTACCATATTTTTTAGCAATTCCCATTTTTTTCTGAACTATTTTTTTCCCCAAGTAATAGTTTATTGATTAAATGGCAAATTATGTATTTGCACAAATTTATTCATTTTTGTCATTAATTAAAAACACACCACACCCCCAATTAAACTGTCAACACCAAAGGCATAACTTCAAACACAAAAATATCTTATACTAGCATCTATTAAAGACTTAACATTACAGCCAAGCAGAGTACCACAAACCATGAATGTTCGACAGCAAATATGTTGCTTTCAAATTGATATTAATTTTGATCTCCGATTTTACCATCTTTAGTAACTTTGGCCATTTCTGGCACCAACATATATGTGAATAAACATTTGCTCATGAAAAGTAAGATGGATATAGTGTTTTGTTTTGTTTCTTGTTAAAAAAAAAAAAATGGCCATCAATTGTGATTTAGGGTCCAGTGGATAAAACTGCAGAAACCCACAAACCTGTGATTAATGTTTAACACTGCATACAGAATATACAGTACTCCTTCAATGTAACACAATCCATGCAAGTAATAGTGTATAGCCCCTTGTAGTGAAACTGCCTTATAATGAGGTACATGATACATACAAGTCTCAGTATAAAAAGGGTGGGAGTAACAGCATACACCTCCATATAGTGAGAGTGCCTTATCATGAATTATTCAATCTCCATGGAAGTCATAATGTACCCCATTATAGTGAGGCTGCCTTATGAAGTACACAATACATATTAAGACTTATTAAAGGGTGGTATACACTCTTTATGGTAGTCAATGTATCTCCCTTATAATGAGGGTGAATTATATATATAACTTTATTTGCTCTTAATAAAATGGCAATATTCAACTTGCAACAGGAACCTTGTTATCATGATTGCATTATAGTGAGAGCAGCCTAATGATAATTTGCTTTTTGCAATATGTTTGTTCATGAGGCAGGCTTTTAACATAGAAATTCAGTGATTGTCCTCTGTGATAAAATTGCTTCCTACCTTATTGAAACTTCTCTGCTCACCATTAATACGGAAAAAGATTCTCCACAAAAAGTAATTAAATGGGTCCAAGTTTCATTGTTTTGAGATGGAAATATTTCAAGAAAAAAAATTATGTATACTAAAATGGCTTACATCTTGATTTAAAAGAAATCTAAATAACAATACATGTATTTTTGCATTTTACACATTTAGAGTAACAACAAAAATAAAATGTTTTAAAAAAATCAAATTACACAAAACAATTCTTTTCAGCAATTAGTTCTAAGTATATTGCTTCTGCTTTAAGCAAAATCCATGCTGTATCAGGTTTTATGCTTGATCAATACAAACTATGCAATCAGTTCAGGATCCAGATGTTCCACACACTTTAAATGATGGTACTTAATTACTAAGTGGACATTCATGCAAATAGAACCATACAAAAAAAAAAACCTTCTTGAAGTTGTCCTGGTCATGTAATGCTTTCAAACAGGTATGATTAGCATCTTCAAGAATAATACAGTTCAGTGTAATAACATTTTCCAGAATAAGTCAGTCTGGTGTATTAACATCTTCCAGAATAAGTCAGTCTGGTGTATTAACATCTTCCAGAATAAGTCAGTCTGGTGTATTAACATCTTCCAGAATAAGTCAGTCGGGTGTATTAACATCTTCCAGAATAAGTCAGTCTGGTGTATTAACATCTTCCAGAAAATGTCAGTCTGGTGCAAGAATAAGAGTCTGACATATTAACATCTATAAGAATAAGACAGTCCAGTGTATTAACATCTTCAAGAATAAGACAGTCCATTGTATTAACATCTTCAAGAATAAAATAGTCCAGTACACCTTTGCTTCAATAACTTGTGCACAAAAGTAATGACAATAAACAGCTTAATTATGAACAAATTAATTTCCAAGATAACTAGATTTTAATACACTTTACTACCGTCCCATATTCAGGTCGAATTTGAGGGTCTTTTAACTTCATATATATATATATATATATATATATATATATATATATATATATATATATATATATATATATATATATATATATATATAATCTCCTTCACTTGATTTGATACAAAAGAATTAATTATACTTAATTCAGCCTTGTGCTAAAAATAAAACCATGATGTCATTGCCCCAACTGCGGCCATATTGTTTTCGGACAACGCCACTAGCAACGCATAGTAACACGAATGCTAGCAGTATTTTGAAATATATAAACAAACTATATATTCATCTGGAAAAATAATTATTTAATATGGTTACCACTGAGCATTGTTGCTATGGCTCACGTACAAGCGATTTGAGGTACCAGAAAGCTGGTGTTTGGTTCATTGAATTTGGACACGGTTTACCAAAGCCCAACAAGGAATAAGGTGTATAAGGATGGGTACATCATTACAGCCAACGTAATTTTTACCATAAACAAATGTGACGAAGGATACATAGATATGTAGTCTGCACTAACTAAAGATATTGCCAAGCATAGGATACATGTTGAATGGTCCATTGAGAGAATTAAGAAACTTAGACTGTTACAGAAATCCCACTCAATATTCATTCTGTCTTTTCTCAGTGTTTATTTATTATAGGTTGTTTAGTCAATTTTCAAAATCCTCTTGTGCAGTAATTACAATCTAAGAAGTTTGTATTATTCTGAAATTCAACATACAGATGCAGACAATAAAGTTTTTTTGACATGTACTTCCCTGTTGTTTGTAAAATGTGTATCATTTTAAGGCTAGCTGTCATCTTTATAGACAGCTGTTTTGTATTACTTTTTCTATCAGCAAATTCAAACAATTTTACTTATTCAATTAAGAAAATGTGTTATGCACATAACATAAATATATGACATGAAAATAAACAGAAATTTTCTCTCATTTTTTAACAGTTTCCAATTTATACATGAGACTCAGAAAAAGGGTAATGAAATTTTTAATCCATATTACCAAAACAACCTAAATGGATATATTTCTTGATCAAATATCTTAAATATAATAAATACAAAATTTGTAGAGTGATGCATGAGCCATATTTACTTAAACCCTTTTATACCTATATGCATTAAAATAACATTCACTACGCCGAGTTTAAATTTATGAACAAAGCAAAATAGAAATAGTAACTATAGTACATGTACATTCCTCTTTTTTTTACGTTTTTAAAACATCAATCACATGTAACAAGACTTCATTCTGACAATTGGAGACAGTTCCCTTGGAATTTTCATTTCAAAATATTCAGAGCATATGTATTGGTGTTGAAATTTTATCAACTTGTACATTATACTATTCCCAAAAGATTCATCAAATCTGATCCTAAGAATTACAGTCTACATTCGACTATACCACAAAATCACACCAGGGAAGAACAGTCATCACAGCCTTCTGCAACAACAATAACAACAACAACAACAATAATAATAATAAAAGAAGAAAAAGAATAGCATAAATAATCATTAACAGATATAATAGTAACTTATTACTTACATGTGCGTGCAATTATGACACAATTACTGGGATTATTTGCGATAATAATATAAAGAAGAAGAATAGCAAGAAAAATCATTAACATATAATGGTAACTTATTACTTACATATGCATGTAATTATGACACAATTACCAGGATAATTTGCGGTGATGATAATAATAATAATAATAATAATAATAATAATAATAATAATAATAATAATAATAATAATAATAATAATAATAATAATAATAATAGCAACAAAAACAATCAGATAACAATAACTTTTAGTACTTATATACATATTCAATTATGACATAATTACCGGGATAATGAAAGAATAATATAAGCACTGGAACAATAACAACAATAATAAAAATAATAAATCGCAATTGTAAATTTAAATATTAACATAATGGTGGATGTTATGTGGTGCCTTGTTGTTTCAAAGGGTACAAAACCATATAAGAATGTACAGTTATAAATCAAACACACATCACAGTGACTTCTGGTTTGTATGAATAATGTATATATAAAACTTACAAAACAGGAAAAAATCTACATTTCTGTTATTTACAACACTTTGCATACAGTAGAGTACTGAAAATACAAGATACAAAATGCACGATTAAAGAAATGATCGTAGTCCAGAAAACAAATCACAGGAGTCTGCAGTTTTATCAATAAAGCATGACAAAATTTCTGACAACATGAAATCACCTTAACGGTATTATAAATTTATAATACCACTTTATAATACCGTTAAGATAATTTCATGTTGTCAGAAATTTCGTCATGCTTTATTGATAAAACTGCAGACTCCTGTGCATAAATATGCCAAGTCCCAACATGTATAATATTTGTTTTGACTCAACTTTTTAGTAGTATGCTTCTTTTTTCATTTTGGGGACAGGCCTCGACATTCTAATCATCGCTGTAACTGAATATTGGAATTCTCATCTAAATTCAGATGAACAAATTTAGCACTGGGTACATTGCTTTCAGCAAGAAGAATAATATGGAAAGTATCGCTGGTTGTCATTAGGCTGGTTCATAGTGTCCAAAAATCTATTTTTAGAAACTGAT